CAACCTACACAATATTTCCCAGGGTGCTTTCCTCTACTGCTTATATCCCATTTTTGCTGGGCAAGATTTAGAAAATATTTATTAAGAGCCTGCTATGGCCCAGGCACTTTTCAGAATCTTTTTTTCACAACATGCTACGTATTTTAAGTTTGATTGGCATTATATATGATTAAGTTCCCATATGGTTGTGCATATTAGTTTCCAGTAATTGGTGAACAGAATGTAAAATTATATTTTTATATCATGATGATTACACAAAAAGTTTAAGAAAGAAACCAAAATTATAAATTCAAATAACCCAGCTTTTCTCTTTTTTTTTGTAAATTTTTAATTGGAGTTTGATTTGCCAACATATAAACACCCAGTGCTCATCCCGTCAAGTGCCCCCTCAGTGCCCATCACCCAGTCACCCTATCCCCCCGCCCACCTCCCCTTCCACTACCCCTTGTTCGTTTCCCAGAGTAACCCAGCTTTTCAAATATCCTTTCACCTGACCCTAAATAATTTGATTTCAGTAAGCTTCAACTCTTTGATATCCTCTTAACAACTACTTTTAAGTACCATGAATTTATCAGAAAGATCATTAAGGTATATAAAATGTGTGACTCGTAGAAGGCTTTTTAAAAACAGCTTTATTTGGATGTAATTCACATACCATAAAATTTACCAAGTCCTCACCTCATACCATCATCTTTGCAGGTTCAATTTTAGTTCAACTCTGTATTTTTTAGAATATTCCCAGAGTTATGCAACCATCACCAACACTCCGAGAAGAAATCCATTCCCATTGGTAGTCCCTCTCAATTCGCCCTTCTCCCTAATCCTTGGCAACAACTAGTCTATTTTCTATCCCCATGGATTTGCTTATTCTGGATATTATATATAAATGGAATTATGCACCACATGTGGCCTTTCCTGTCTGGCTTCTTTCACTTAGAATGTTTTCAAGGTTCACCCAAATTGTACGATGTACCAGTATATCCTTACTTTTATGAATGAATATTTCATTGTGGATATACCATATTTTATTTATCTATTCATCAGTTGATGGGCACTGGGTCCTTTGCACCTTTTGGATATTGAATAATGCTACCTGCTGAAGCGGACAAGTTTTTGCGGGGACCATAGGCTTTCATTTCTCTCGGTTATATACCTAGCAGTGGAACTGTTAGATCATGCAGTAATTCTATGTGTAATCTTTTGAGGTTTTGAGGAACTGTCCTTTTACAGAATGTCTGCATTGTTGTAAGATCCCCTAAGGAATGTATAAAGGTTCTGTTTCCTCTACATTTTCATCAACACTTGTTGTTGTCTGACTTTTTAATTAGAGCCATCCTAGAGGGTGTGAAGTATAACTCACTGTGGGTTTTGATGTGCATTTCTCTAATGCTAGTGACTTGGGATTTTTTTTCATGTGCTTATTTGCTGTTTGAATATCTTCTTTGGAGAAACATCTATTCAAATTATTTGACTAAAGAATTGAGTTGTCTTTTAATTACTGAATTCTAAGACTTCTTTATACATTCTTTAAATATTTTAAACTCCCTTGTCAGATACATGATTTGTAAATATAGTCTCTCATTCTTCAGTTTCTCTTTTCACTTTCTCTATGGTGTCCTCTGGAGCACGAAGTTTTTAGTTTTGAAGTCCAGTTTATTTTTTCTTTTGCCATTTGTGCTTTTGGTGTCACATCTAGCAAACCACTGCCTGATTCATAGGCACTGAGATTTCCTAATTTCATCTAAGGATTTGGTAGTTTTAGCTCTTACATTTCATCCATTTTGAATTAAATTTTGTATATGTTGTGAGGGAAGGATCCAGCTTTATTGTTTTTATGCAGATATCCAGTTGTCCCAGCACCATTTGTTGAAAAGATTATTCTTTCTCCCATTAAATTGTCTTGCATCTTGCAAAGTCAATTGACTGTAAACATATGGATTTATTTCCAGACTCCATTCCATTCATCCATATGCCTATCTTTATGCCAGTACCACATGGTCCTGATGTCTGTAGCGTTGTAGTAAGCTTTTTTTCTTTTTTAAGATTTTATTTATTTATTTAGAGAGAGAGAGAGAGAGAGAGAACACAGGGGGTGGTGAGAGGGAGAGAGGGATTAGAGGGAGAGAGAATCTCATACAGACTCCTCATTGACCATGGAACCTCCTATAGGGATCCATCTCATGACCCTGAGATCATGACCTGAGCTGAAACCAAGAGTCTAATGCTTAACTGGCTGAGCCACCCAGGCACCCTTGGTAGCTTTGTAGTAAGTCTTGAAATTTGGAAGCATGAGTCCTCCAACTTTGTTCTTTTTCAAGATTGTGTTTTTTTTTTTTTTATCTTAGGTTGATACAGAAATGATTATTTAATGAATGAATAAATGGATTAATGTTTGCATTTTTAAAAGTTTTATCTTGGGGGTAGGGAGGAGGTGAGGAATTTTATTATCTTTAAAGGAATGTAGCTAAGAGATGGTGGTTATTTATATGTACACACCTGTGAAAAAGCATGCCAGGATTGGTCCTATTTTATAAAGCTGCTTTTGGTGACTAGGTTTCTGTTAGCTGGGCTGTGTGGCAAATGTTTCTCAATTTTCTGTAATCGGTACCATGTTGAGAGCATAGCTGGTGCTCAATAAATATTCATTGATTAAATGCCTTGTCCTTTTTGCTTTGTTTTAACTTATTGCTTGTCTTATTCCTACCCTTTGGTTGATAGTTGGTAAAATTTCCTGTTTTTCTAGCCATTCAATGACTGTAATTTTGGTTTAGAATCCTATTTTCCTAAACTTCTGCCAATTTTCTTCACAGCACCAAAATATGCTAGACAGATGATTTTCCAGGATGGAATCATTAGGAATTCTTCTCAGATGGAGTATTAAGGAACTGGATTTGCTACCCTAATCTCTTTACTATCACTTGCAAGGAGTTGCCTTTTTTTGATTCCCTCGGGCAGGAAACAACTTCCATTTCCAAGTCTGGCAATCATTCCTGCTTTGAGTTTCCTGAAGTATCATTTCCTCTGAGTAGACTTTTCAGATTGAGATATAGAGTGGGCATGGATTCCATAGTGAATGTGCAGCCTTGCACACCCCACCACATCCACCCCCTGAATCCCACAAGATAAAACAGGGGAAAAAAAAAAGAGCCTTCATTTATTTAAAACTTTGTATTTTGATATGTTTGTTTACATCCATCTGTTCCTAATTTGGTACATTTTCCCTGTGTTTACCCTAACCTGTTAAAATACATCTTGCTTTAGGATTCATATTGAAGTTTCCTTATCTCCCTCCAGGCTCGTTATGCTACTCTGCTAGGCACATAATGGGTACTTAATAAATATTATTTGAGATTTATTTATTTGTCTTGCCATCTGTTTCAGAACACTAGCTACTGAAAGGCTCAAGGTAGAGCTCAGTGTGAAGTGTTTAAGACACAGAGCAATAGATCCCCGCACAAGCAGCGATGAGATCTAAGTAATCTCCCTTTTCTAGGTAGCCATGGGGGCAACCAGCTTCCAATAGGGGAGTTACCATTAGTTTTTATTTCCTCCGGAGCTGATTTACAGAACAGGTTGGAACGACCTCAGCAAAAGCCTCAATGCTGGGATCCTCCTGCCAGTCACCTACGCCTGACCCCTGCAGAGGAAAATTCAAAGCCCTGGCGACCGTCAGGAGGCCGGGATCCCAATTCCGGGGGGGAAAACCTTGGGAACTCATTCTCCGTTAATTACTTCATTCTGTAAATATTAGCTCTAGCTCTATAGCCAGGTACAGTGCTAGGGGAGGTCACCACAACAGCCAACAGGACCAAGTATTTTCATTCAAGGAATTTACACTTCAAAGGAAGGTTTGGGTGGGGAGTGGGTGGAAGCAGTGCACCACAGTCCACAGCTATTTCCCCATTTCCTTTTTTTTTTTTTAAGATTTTACTTATTTATTTATTCATGAGAGACACAGACAGAGAAGCAGAGACATAGGCAGAGGGAGAAGTCCCTGATGTGGAGGTGGGGGGTGGGGTGGGGACTTGATCCCAGGGCCCCTGGGATCACGACCTGAGTCCAACGCAGATGCTCAATCACTGACCCACCCATTTCTTAAAAAAGGTGAGCGAGCTTCCACGTTCAGTTTGAACGCTTAGGGCCTGCTACTTGCAGGCGATCGAAGCTCAGAACACAGCACATCTGCCCGCTACTATAACCAACACTCGGTTGATCAAACCCAACACTTTGGCTTTCCTTTACAGGGAGGATACAACCAACACCGGAGAGCACGACTCTTTTCAATATTCTGCTCGGCCTCGGCAGGCATCACGACTGACCTACGTACGGTTGGCGGCTGCACCTGATCTTCCAAAGGCTGCTGGAAGGGCTTCCCATCGCCCAAGTCGTGTGTCTGCCCGTTGACAGGGGCGAGGGGTGCAGAAAAGTTGCTTTCGGTCGGGCAAGGCGGCAATCGCGGGGTGGACGCGGGGCGTCACGCTGTTTTAACACTGTGACCCAAAGAACTGAAATCAAAAGGACGGCAGCGGTGCCCTGGCCCTGCAGGGGGTTACAAGGCTACGCTCCGTCCTCCACACCAAGCCCGGAAGGTGCCTTCGAACCACACGCTGTCTAAGCGGCGCAGCTTCCCCACGCAGCGCCCCCCCCCCCCCGCCACGATCCGCAGCGGCAGCCGCCGCAGGAGCAGGGAGCGTCCGGCGGCCCCGCCTCCGCGCCGCGCGCGGGCCCTCCCGCCCCGCCCCCTGCGCCGCGGGCCACGCCCCTGCGCCGCGGGCCACGCCCCTGCGCCGCGGGCCACGCCCCTGCGCCGCGGGCCACGCCCCTGCGCCGCGGGCCACGCCCGTGACGTCCGCCGAACGGGCCGGGGGGCGGGGCGCGGGCCGGGGGGCGGGGCGAGCCCGCGCTGCTGAATGGGGCGCCGCAGCGAGCCGCACATTCCAACGGGCCCACGTGACGCGGCCGCGCGGCCTGAGGTAAACAACCGCGGCCCCGCCTCCCGGCCCCTCCGCGCGCCCTGCACTGCTCCTCGCCGGCGGGACGCGCTCCAGCGGGGCGGGCGGCTTTCCCCGAAAGTCCCCAGCGGCCGCCGCGGCCGGAGCAGCGGCAGCGGGCGCGGCGCCCCGGGAGTGCGGGCCGAGCGCGCCGGCCGGGGTCGAGCGCGCGTCCCCTCCCCGCCCCCACCGCGCGTTGTGGCGCAGCAGGAATTTGGCGGGGACCCGGGCGCTATTTGCGGCTCCTGACGCGCCGGCGGCCGGCGGCCGGCGGCCCTTGGGTCATTTCTATTCTAGGGGCGCCGGGTCAGCGCGCCCGGCCGGCCCCCTCCGCCGGGCCCGGAGGGTGTGTCCCCCTCAGCCCGGCTCGCCGCGCCTATAAGGGGCCCGAGCGGCGGGCAGGGACATGCAGCTCTACAGCAGCGTCTGCACCCACTACCCAGCCGGGGCACCGGGTCCCACGGCCGCAGCCTCCGCTGCCCCCGCCGCCGCCGCCGCCGCCGCCGCCGCCGCCGCCGCCCCCCCCTTCAAGGTCTCCCTTCAGCCTCCCGGAGCCGCCAGCGGCGAGCCGGAGCCCGAGACCGGTGAGTGCCAGCCTGCCGCGGCCGCCGAGCCCCGAGAAGCCGCCGCCGCCGCCGCCCCCGCCAAGATGCCCGCCTTCTCCTCCTGCTTCGAGGTGGTGCCCGGGGCCGCCGCCCCCGCCTCGGCCGCCGCCGGCCCGCCCGCCGGGTCGTGCAAGCCGCCGCTGCCGCCGCACTACACGTCCACGGCGCAGATCACCGTGCGGGCCCTGGGCGCCGACCGGCTCCTGCTGCACGGGCCCGAGCCCGGCGCCCCGGCGCCCGCCGCCCCGCGCGGCCGCTGCCTCCTGCTGGCCCCGGCGCCCGGCGCCCCGCTCCCGCCGCGCCGCGGCTCCTCGGCCTGGCTGCTGGAGGAGCTGCTGAGGCCCGACTGCCCCGAGCCCGCGGGCCTCGACGCGGCCCGGGAGGGTCCCGACAGAAACTTCCGACTGAGCGAGCACCGCCAGGCCCTGGCCGCCGCCAAGCACCGAGGCCCCGCGCCGCCCCCGGGAAGCGCGGAGCCCGGCCCCGGCCCCGGCCCCGGCCCCGGCCCCGGCCCGTGGGGCGACGAGCACCCGGCGGACAGGAGCCTCCGGGGCTGGGAGAGGGCCGGCGAGCGCAGCGACCCTGCCGGCGCGGACGAGGCGCGGCGGCCCGACCCGGAGGCCGAGGCGGCCCCGGCGCGGAGCTGCGAGGCGCGGAGCTGCGAGGCGGGCCCGGGCGGCGCGGCGGAGGCGGTGGTGGTGTCCAGGTCGGATCCCAGGGACGAGAAGCTGGCCCTGTACCTGGCGGAGGTGGAGAGGCAGGACAAGTACCTGCGGCAGAGGAATAAGTACCGGTTCCACATCATTCCCGACGGCAACTGCCTCTACCGAGCGGTCAGCAAGACGGTGTACGGAGACCAGAGCCTGCACCGGGAGCTGAGGGAACAGACGGTGCATTACATCGCCGACCATCTCGACCACTTTAGCCCCCTGATTGAGGGCGACGTGGGGGAGTTCATCATCGCTGCTGCTCAGGACGGGGCGTGGGCCGGGTACCCGGAACTGCTGGCCATGGGGCAGATGCTGAATGTGAACATACATCTAACGACTGGAGGGAGGTTGGAGAGCCCCACGGTGTCCACCATGATTCACTACTTGGGCCCAGAGGATTCCCTACGGCCTAGCATTTGGCTCAGTTGGCTCAGTAATGGACATTATGACGCCGTGTTTGATCACTCCTATCCTAACCCCGAGTATGACAATTGGTGCAGACAGACTCAAGTGCAGCGGAAACGCGATGAAGAACTTGCCAAGTCCATGGCCATATCCCTATCCAAAATGTATATCGAACAAAATGCATGCTCTTGAAGTGTCTGAACACCTACACCCTGGGAGAATTGCATACGTAGTTTGTGTTGGGAGAATTACGAACTCTAATCAGGGTAATAGCACTTTTAAACTTCCTAGTAGATTTACTGTAGGTGTAATGCCTTAATCATTTTTTTGAATGTTTTTCTCCTCAGAGCTGAAGGTTGCTGGGCACCTAAATAATGTTTCATGATGGCTTGGGGTGATCCTACTGCTTATTTATAATTTGCTGTATACAGTTGGCGCTACTTATAATTTGCAAGCTAGTTTCTCACGGTGTAAATTTGTTCATTCCTGGTAATCTGTTTTCTATAAAAATGTATTTTTGCACAACATTTTTAAGAATGGGTGTACCTTCATCTATGACGTGTTCCGTTTTGACAAACAGCTTTCCGGCATCAATCCAGAGAAAGTGCTTTATATGAAGTTTATTACTTTGAACAAGACTTTGTGATTCAGTAGTTACTTTATGTTGTTCGATTTGAATTTTATGATTCTTAGATCATTATTTCAAGTGGATATTAATGCATTTGTGTTACCAGATGATTGGCCCATTCCATTTTAATGAAAAACAGATTGGTTGTTTTGGAAATCATTATTTTTCTAGAAATGGTCAGCCTTTTAAAGAGAAATATTTAAGGGAGGGTTGTGGGAAGAGTTTTCTGTAAGGGAGAATAGTACCAGGTCTTCTTACTTGAATGGAAGTCTGATATTTGCAGATGGCAGAGTGATGACTATTCTGTACTTTGGTTGGTGTTTAGAGTAGATTGGTGCTCTGAATTGTTCTTATTTATATTTGTCATTTTGTTATAAAAGCATTTTAACTTTGTGACAAGATAAGCCTCCTGCTTTATATAGATAGCTTCTTGGATTCAACTAAGAGATTTAAAAAAAAAAAACTACTAGCATTAAATGCCTTGAATCAACTTTGGCAGTTGTTTTATAGCAGGAGAATAGTGTCTTAATATTTTATTCCTTTTAAATTCTCTCAAAAGGCAAAATAGGATTGCCCTGTATTATGTACAAATAAAAATGTCTGTAAACAGATCTTGTATGGTTTGCTGGGTCAAACAATGTTCTCAACCTAAAATCTATCTCATTTCCACTTTAACTACTTCTAGTCATATTTATTAAGTGCTGCAGTTTGTACTTTTTTATTTTGTAACATTTTGTGATTTTTTTGTACAATACCGTATTTGTACAATAGAGCGATTCTCAGCCAATGGAATGAATGAATAAAATGCGTAATTTTACTTTTACCATGTCTTTTTGGCTAAGATGCTTTTTCAATTAAAAAGTCACACTTGTAGGAGCCTCTCTTACATACACACTCTTTTTTTTTTTTTCATGTGTAAAGATGTCCCAGAATTATGAGGGAGATTTCTTAAGTTCTCACATGAACAAGGTAGGATAATCATTATAATTTCAAAAAGGATAAGTCTTAATGAAATATAATTTAGAGATGGAGTAACTCAGGACATTGCTTTTACCATTTCTAATTATAATTCCTGTTTAAAACTATAGAGGTACCTGTTGGCTAATAAACAGGGAAGTACAAGAATTGTGTTAACCAGCACAGTGTCTAAGTATCATAGTTTTGTGTTTCACTTACTCTCAGCACAGATTTAAATGTTTCAGAGAGTAATCAAAACAGTGTCCTAATTCTTGTCCAGTCTGGGCATCTTGAGACCATGGGAATCTATTAATTTTAAGATGTGTTACTGTATTTAGTAGACAGGTACACCTATATGCATATCTGGGTATGTTGTTTACTACAGAACAAAAACAGCTAGTTTGGATATTTTACTTTACAGCTGATAGGTCATATGTTTATATTTCATGGTTAAAGACGCATTGGAGCTTGAGCTCATTGCTTAACCACATTTTTGGAAGAATGCCATTGGTTATCGGGACAACTTCCTTTAAATGCTAACTAATGAATTTCTTTTCAATGTTAACTAATCATGCATCTCTGGTTTTTTGGGTAAGAAGACATTTGCTTCACTGATTAAGTTGGGAAAGGAGTTATTTTTTTTTTAATTACCTGTCTAAACATACTTCTTTCCCATTTCTCCCCTTAATTTAGACATGTAAAAATTTGGGCATACTTAAAACTTACACAAATGAGTAGACTAATTAGATATGATATCCTAAGAAGCCATCTGTAAAGCGCATTACTGTTTTAAAGAAACAAATTTTTCTGGGTTCTGTTTCATTTTCGAATTAGAATCCCAAGTCCTTGATTTACATCCTCAAGGGTGAAGTGTTTCAAAGAATTTAATGGATCCTCAGGTCCTGTTGCATTGGCAGCATGCTTTCTTAGTTGTCTTGCCTGAAATGTTTATGCCTTTCACATTCTCTTTCTATGGCTTGGTTTTCTGAAGAAGTATTTATTCTCTACTGCCTCAGTATTTATTCTCTACTGCCGTACCAGTTTTATGTATTAGCAGTAGCAGACCTGGATCACTGAAAACGCGTAGTCGAAGAGGTGGAAATGTGGTTGACTCAAATAGATTTTATTAAAATCTATTCCTTCAGAAACTCTTTATAGCAGCTAAGAGGTTCCAGACTATGAAGGAAACACTTGGTGGCTTTGAGCTAAAGTTTCTTTAGAGTTTACCCCCTTCTCCATAAAATACGATGGAGGTGGATAAAGCCCTTAGGTCAATCCAACTGTGGTTTCTGGTAAATTAGTGTGAAAATCATACTATCAACTTGAAAATTTTACTAAAGTGGTATATGAATAAAAACCGATACAATTCACTATTAGTGTGATTTTTAAAATTACTGTTTCATTTTTAAAAAATTAAATGGCATAGTACTTCAACATTTTGGCAAAAGCCTAATTCCCTGAACCTTTTGTTCATTTTTCCACTTGTATTTCTGTAAGATAAGAAAATGTACTCATTTTCATTTATTTAATTGGACTAAGCAGTAAACCTGTTGATAAGTGCCACCAGGACATGTACATGTGATTCTTTAATTACATTTTCCTAAACTTGTAGTCCATATGCTTTATATGCTAAAATTCTCATAGGCACAAAGCCTTTCTTCAGATACCACATTCTATAGAGAGGAGGTATCTGCCTTAGGATTTCTTTAACATCAGAATTGGTTAGCCTCAGCTTGGGTAAATAATCATTATGCTGCGGTGTTTTCTTGATAACTTTTGTATTAAAAAAAAGATATCGAGCTAATTCTCACTACTTTATTAAAATTTATTTTATGTATTTTCCCTAAAAGGTGAGAAAGTTGAACTCTAAAATTTTACCGTGGTATTCAGTGTGCTCATATGGAGGAAAAGCGTTACTGATTAAAAATAGGTTTTAAACCTTTGGACATCTGATAATTTAATATGCAGGTAAACATACTGGATCAATTTATGTATTTCAAATGTGTTACGTGTTTACACTTAGCAGTTATTTGTCACACAAAATCTTAAGTCCAGACCTTATTACTATTTCTGACATTCCTGGAGTGTCTATAACCATCTCAAAGAGGCATCGAGAAACTAGATGACATTTAATTCAGTTTTATTCCCTAAATGTACTAAATGGAATAGACATGGACTATATACTATGTTCTCTGTGGAGTCCCTTGGTTCCAACCTAGTAACTAGCAGAGTAAACGCTCAGTAAACATTTGTTGAGTGAAAGAATTAATTGAAGGAAACTATGAGCTTTGGGAAATATTTATTTGGTAGATGTGAAATCAAATAAAAATGGAGTCTACAGTAACTGAGAATTACCACTAACAAAGTGATTCTGAGCATTTTAAAGAGAGGTCGTGTCATAAAAAGACAGTGAAGTACTGAAGTCCGTAAGTGGAAAAAATAGATTGTGAAACCCAAAAAGTAGAATTTGATGCTATCTTTGTGTCATCTTCCAAACATCTTGAGTGTTAAATTAAGAAAAACTATTTAAAAACAGAACTTCCATCAACCTGAAATGATTGTGAAAGTGTTCTCTTATCTGAGAGGGACTTGCTCTGACTTGCTTTAGGGGTTACACCTATCCCAAGTCCAGTCTACAGCAATTCCTAGTTCTGCTGTGTTTTCTTTCTATAGCCTGGGCGGGAAGGAAATGCTGGACAGATTTCAAGCATGCTTTAGGATTGTTGTGTTCAGCAGCACGGGCTGCAGGCTTATGCCGTTGGTCAATGTGGCCTGGACAAGTAGCACACATCAGATCAAAACAGATCTATGTGGGGTGGGGGTGGGGGGAGAAGCAGTGTATTTCCTCCTACTGTAAATTAGGTCAGTGACAATTATTCTATGGGTAGAGGTCAGAGAGAGAGAGAGAGAGAGTTTACTGTCATCAGATAAAATCCTATCTAGCCTGGTTTTCACAAGCGAATTTTCTAATGGAACGGTCTATTTACGTGTAAAATTTAAAACAAAACTGCTTTTGCTAAAATTCTTTAAGAAGCAATCAGTGGTGCACTTATTTGCCTTTGGTAAAATAACTGAATAGAGTTTAATCTTCCCTTAATGACTGAGGGCTTTCATGATGGCATGGGTATATGGCCCCGAAGCCTTGGCAGATTGCTGAGGTGTGACAGTACCTTTGTACTTTAAAGGACCTCAGGGTGCTAGGACTTTTATCTTTGTGTTGAATATTTTCCTGTCCCCTCCCTCCAGCTCATCATTATTTTCTACGTTGAATTAAAGGACACCAACAAGCATGCTTGTCAAAATTGACTCCAAGATCATAGGAAATGGGTTTCTAATTTGAGAATAGGATGCTCTGCTATGGGTAATGTACTTACACTTTAGTTTTTGGTCAACCAGAGAGCTTTTTTTTTTTTTGCTTTCATCTCTGTCTTCTTTTTTGCATTCTGTGGTGGTATCCTGGAAATGCCAAATTTGTCTGATTAAGGGACCTCTGCACATATGCAGTGCCATATGAAAACAAAAGACCCCTGGGGGTTAACCTTCTCAGTCCTCAAAATTGCAGTTGATTTGTCATTGCCTGGTTAATACTTTGCCTCCTCTCTGCCATATGTAATCCTTTTTAGTGGGTACCTGCCGGTTGTCTCTCTTTGATTTTCGTGTTTAGTTTTCTGGTTCACTAAAGATGTGCTAATTATGAAGTAATTCAAATATCAGTTCTTCACTGAAGACTCCAAGTTACAGTACGCAGAGATAGGTCTAGTACAAATACGACTACTGTCTTTTGAACTCCTTTAATGAATGCATATTATGTCTACACTGGGCAAATGTAGACTACGCGGTTGTATTCCGTAGCTTATCAAGGTACAAAAGAGTGGTGTGCAAAGTAGGTGATTGTGAAGGAAATTTATCTCAATGGGTCGCATGACACCTGTGCAGCCAATTTGTAAAATAAACTCAAATAAAGCTTTCAGTTCTAATGACAAACAGGAGACATTCACACCTTTTGTTTCTTACAGTGAAATTTGACCTGTACGGTGATGTAATAGGAATGAAGAAGTAGAAGAACACCGCGAGGAAATCCTTAGCTGTCACTCCACTGTCCTTGTAATCTTGCTGAAAATTGCCAGGCCTAGGGGGAGTTCACAGATTTTTACTTAAAATCTGAACAGCGCTCCTATCTCAATAAACAGTAGATGCCTGAAACGGAAACCTCAGTGGCTGCTTATTCTACAGAATTCTAGGGCGGAATTAGAAGGGAGATTTAAGATGGATTTTAAACTTCTCAATATACAGTCGTTTTCTCTGACAGATTTTCCATTACCTTCCCACATTATTGATAGTGGCTGCTGGCAGCAGGCAGTACTGCTCAGAATGGTGGCAATTTGCAGAGAGATGGCCAGACTGGTGTAGAATGCACCAGAAATCTACAGGAATAGACGGTGTGATTTTAATAGTTAAGCTAAGCTTGTAACAGAAGTTTTTCTCTCTTTCACGTAACTGTTCCAAAGGGAGCAGTCCAGGCTGGCAGGGCAGCCACGCTCTGTAGAAGACATATGTCCTGGGACACTGCCCCTGTGCGAGGTGTAAGCTGGGCCACCACCAGGTCTGCGTCGTCACTCGCAGAGCACACAGCCAGCGGGGGCACACTTCGCCTCTGCTCTCATCTGTTGGCCCGAATTTTGTCAGATGGCCTTATCTAACTGGGGAATATCAACCAGACTGTTCCCAAGAAAAGGGTAAATGGATCTTGGCAGGAAAATAGCAATCTTTTCCAAATCTTTATTTGTCAGGAAATGGTTTAGGGTGAAAATATCTCTGAGAGGAAAATGATAATATGGAAGTATCTGGGCATCAAGGGAATAAAAT